TGTCACTCCAGTATCTCCCCTCAAGCATCACTCCTTGATATTAAATCCCACCAATACCCAACATCACTCCCGGCGTCATCACCTCTCAGCGTCACTCCCTGATGTTACCCCTCAGTAATACCCCAACATCACCCTCCAACATCCCTTCCCCATGTCACCACTGCAACAGCATCACCCCTTGATGTTAAACCCCAGTGAACCCCCATCAGCCCCCCACGTCACTCCCCAGTATCACCATAATCCCCGTAAACAGGAAGCAGAACCCCTAGAAGTGCACTATTACTATCTGACCCCAGAGAGACAGCAAACTGACGAAAAGACAGAGAAGGAACATGCCAGCGGAGGATGCAATAGGCAGCACCAGCAGGGCATCCCCTGCTTCAAAGGGCACTTTGTCTTTCATCCCCACTGCAATTTCTCTCCTTCTTTGGTTTTCCCCTGGGTCTGCAGGGTTTGTTCCATTGCACGCTGTACCAGCATGGCCAACGCATGGTACAGAACCCAAATAGAAGAGAACCCCTGACAACCTTTCCTCCAACAACCAACCTCAGCCCCAGCAAAAAACTTTGCCCCCCAACACCCCCTCACCTCCTTGTCACTCCCTAATATCCCCCTCAATATCTTCCCAACAACGTCACAGCCCAGCATCACTCCCCAACATGATCCCAGCATCCCCACCCCCCATCCCCCCAACAGGGGCCCCCCCCAGTGATACCCCACCATCACCACAGTACCATCCCCACAGCATCACCTCTACAACGAGCTGGAAAACAGAGCAGCGATAGTAGAGCAGCTAAACCCTAGGTTGCAGCAAATGAAGGTCAGCTCTAGCGCAGCATCAGCGAGCACACTCCCAAAGGAAACAAAACTGTTCTACATTGGAAAGCCTCAAGTTGGCAGAAACTCACAGTAAAAGCCCTGTTCTTTCACTGCCAGCCCTTAAATGGGGGCTGGGAAGGAGTGGATCCTGGTTCCACCCCTTCATCACTCAGAAACATTGCGTGCACCTGAGCTCCTCTGGATCAGCCCTGCCTTCCCATCAGGTTCTCCATCTCTGCTTCAAGCCATGACTTAGCATTGCCACTACACCCTCACCATCACTCCAACAGTGTTACCCCAGTGTTACCCCCCAACAATGTCACGCCAGCATCACTCCCTGCTGTCACCCCATCTTCACCCCCCCACTGTCACTCTCTGTTATCACCTCAACTTCACCCCTGGTGTCACCCCATAGGATAACTCCAAAACCACTCCTGCTCTCCCCCCACACTGTCCCTCTGTCCCTTCATCCCTTGCTGTACACCCCCCTGTCCCACCATGTCCCCTTGTGCCCAGCTGCTGGCATTGGCCCCCAGCTGCAGCGTAATGCCCCGTAAGTTGTTTTGTGTCACCTCCACTGTCACCTCCACCAGCACTTATGGGGAAAGCTCAGCCCCGTGTCCCCCACATCACCCTCTGTCCCCTCTGTGTCCCCTCTGCATTCCCGTGTCCCCTCCATGTTCTCATGTACCCTCTGTGTGCCCATATCCCACCCATTTCTCTGTGTCCTCCCTGTGTCTCCTCCACATCTCCATATCCCCTTCATGTCTTCATGTCCCAGTGCCCCCCATCTCCTTGTCCCATCTGTGTCCCTATGTCCCCTCTGTGTCCCCACGTCCCCCCCATGTCTCTATGTCCCCATGTCCCCCCATGTCCCCATGCTTTCAATGTGGTGCAGCACAGGGTGGCTCACGTGACACAACAGTGTCCCTGCCACTGTCACCATTGCTATTCCTGCCACTGTTCCCACTGTCACCAGTGCTGCCGCTGCCTCCCGGCAGCTGATGGGCACCAGGGATGTGCTCTGGGGGGATGTGGGGACACCAGGGATATTGTGGGGACATTGTAAGGAGATTGGGGGATTGGGGGACACTGGGGGGACACTAGGGATGTTGGGGGCACTGGGGCGTCTTTAAGGACTGGGGACATTGTGTGGACATGGGGACAGGTGCCCCCACTGCGGTGGCCCTGGCTCTGCGGAACACCATCTCCAGGCAGTGCCAGATGGTGACGGTGGCATTGTGCGTGACCTCACCGTGGTTGTGCACTACCAGCACTGTGGTCATGTTGGCCACATGGCTGCCCAGCAGTGTGGCACCGGGCATCACCGTTACTGCCAGCTCAGGATGCTCGTCTGCCCCACAGCGCTTCTCGAATGGCACCTGTGGTGGCACCGGCACATCCTGGCCCAGCCTGTTACCTCCATGTGTCACATCACCATCACACCCCAGAGTGCGCTGAGGAGCTGGGAGAGGGCTCGATGATGTCTCTGGAGCTGCTCGCTGCATACTCCATAGCTCTGGGACACGTCCAGGTGTCTCTAGAGCCCATCGTGGGGCCATGAAAGAGTTCTGGGGCATACAGGGGGCACTGGGTTCCACAGGACTGAACTGACATGTGGCTGCTTGCCAAGTAGCTGTTATGTTGGCAGTGTTTGGGACAGCAGCTCCTAGCGGGGCTGTGTAACCATTCCGACACTGATAATCAATTGTTAATCTTCCCCTTCCATCTGGTTTCGAAACTAGACAGACGGGCGAGTTATATGGGGAGTGTGTTCCAGAAATGTTTTTTCTCCAAATCTGTGATGACTTCAGAAATCCCACATCATGCTACAGCAGAAATGGGGTGCTGCAGTACATCAGTGATCTCTGATTCCAGGAGCACAGGGGCTGCACGAAGTATATACACGCTGCAGGCACCCTACTTCTTTGGGGTTTGGGGTTGAAACTTGAAGATGTCAAATCCTGAATTGTTTTCACAATGGTCTTTAATCGCAAAGAAAGTAGGCGACACAAGTTTCTCACTGGAGAGCCGTAAGCTGTCCCCTCTAGTTTGGCAAACAGCGCTCGCTCCGATCACGCCGGTAATCTCAACTTTGCCGTCCAGGCTGCACACACAGCTTTTCAGCATCTTGCTGTATCAGTACTGAAATTTGTGTGCTTTATCAGTATTGAAATTTGTGCTCCCCTATCTATTAGAAATTTTACCAAATGCCTTTGAGGACAGACTTCAGTCAAAATATGCATGCCACTGTTGCTCATCCTGTGATAAACCTCCCCTTGCCACACCTGCTCATTATCAGTCTTTTTTTTTGTTGTTTACAGTCTGAAGCAGTGATTGAGCACCTGGTGAGGGGTGTGGCCAGCCCTGCGAGCACAGGTGGAAGCAATTTGTCTATGGGACCGGATAGGGCTGAGCTTGGCTCCACCTCTCCCTGCCGATATTTAAGGGCTGGGAACAGCCAGGGCAGCATTCTACTTGTGGGCTTCCTCTTTGGGAGTGAGTTCTGCCCTTTGGAATGGGGTGAGTGATTGATGCTTTATTGCAGGGCTTTGGTCTTTTCTTTTTGGGGATTCTGACCACTTTTAAGGGCTGAAATCTGTAAGGGCAGCATTTCTCCATGGAGGCTGCTTCTTTTGGGGTGTGGGCTGAGTGTTTGTTTTTGGAATGGGGTCATTGATTTCTTCTTTATTGTTGGATTGTAATTTCACTTTCTAGGGAGCTCCTGTCCACGTTTAAGGTCTGTCAGCAGAAGGAGCAGCTACTGCACCTGGACACCCCTTCCTTTAGAATGTGGTGTGAACTCTTGAAACAGGGTGAGTGACTTTTTTTTTCAGGGTTGCAATATCTTGTTGTTGGGGGGATCCTGACCCCACTTAAGGGCTGGCAGCCTTTAGAGTGGTATCTGTTTCTAGAGACCGTCTCCTTGGGAGTGTGGGGTGAGGTCTCATCCTTGAGAAAGGGTGAATGATTCCTTCTTATTTTAGGGCTGTGATCTCTCCTGTTTTTGGGGCATCCTGACCACATTTAAGTGCTGGCAGATGTAAGGGCAGCATTGATCTCTGGAGACTGTCTCCTGTGGAGCATGGGTGAGTTTTGGTCTTTGAGGAGGGTATAAGTGATTTTTTTTTTTTTTTTTTTTTTTTCCTTTATTTCAGGGCTACAGTCTCCCTGTTGTTGTTGTTGTTTTTTGTAGCATGCTAACCACATTTAAGGGATGGAAGCCATAAGGGCAGCATCTCTACCTGGACACTGCTTCCTTGGCAGTGTGGGCTGAGTGTTCATCTTTGGAATGGGGTAATTTATTCTTTCTTTATTTCAGGGCTGTTATGCACTGCATCCAATCATGTAGAGTTGTTTAAGGGCATTCTGTGCACCCTTAGGTGTAATAAATCAGCTGATCTAACTTTTCAGCTCGATGGGGTTTAAAGATCGACGGAGTTCGTCTGGTCAGTGGTGTAAGCACTGTGTGATCTGCTGAGCAGATAACGAAACATCACGAGCACTATGTTTGTGCACTAGTTTGTATGCAGGCAGGTTTTTGATGGCTGTGGGAAGCTCACACAGGGATCGAATGGGTTGCAGGGGGCTTACCTCGCTCCATGGGGTCTATTCTCCCAGCCCAATGCGCTACACGGCTGGCAATAGAGTGAGGTGCATTGACCAGGACCTGAAGAACAGTCCCAGACGGCAGTGGCCATTTGCTTCATTCTCATTGAGCATAATGTGGTCTGGACCACTCGAGCATAGGGATAACAGGTATTTGTTCCTATTTTGTCTGGTTCTCTCCCATATCTCCTTTACGAATTTGTCAATGGTAATGGATTCCAAGGCATCGTTCTCAGAGCACGTTGTGACTGACCACCTTGGCGTCCTACAGTCCTTTCTGTTTGAACAGAAGGGCAGGGGAGATTCAGGCTGGACATTAGGAAGTATTAGTTTTCAGAAAGGGTGGTCAGGCACTGGAATGGACTGCCCAGGGAGGTGGTGGAGTCACCGAGCATGAGGGTGTTCAAGGAAAGGCTGGATGTTGTGTTGAGGGACATGGTTTAGTGGGAGCTATTGGGAATAGGTGAACGGTTGGACTGGATGATCTTTTAGGTCTTTTCCAACCTTGGTGATTTTGTGATTCTAACAGCAGATCTGGCTTCGTCTTTATAGAAAGCCAAGGATTGTCCTCTTCTGGACCGCTGTACTCAGCATCACCCCAGCGTGATGAAGTGAAGTCCCTGGTCTGCTGAATAGTGGGACTGGCCCAGAGAGGCTCTGTGATGGATGTGGGTTATCCCAGCCAGAGTACCTGGTACCATTGGTGGTGATCTCGTCCAACTGCCACACAACGAACAGGAACATCCACAGCCAGATCAGGTTGCCCTGAGCCTGACCCAGCCTCACCTTGGAAGGGACAGGGCATCCATCATGTGTCTGGGTAACCTGTTCCACTGTGTCACCACCCTCACTGTACAAGATTTTCTTTATATCTAGGCTAAATCTTTTCTTGTTCTTCCCTTCAGGTATTGAAAGGCTGTTACCAGATCACCTTAGAGCCTTCACTTCTCCAGGCTGAACAGCTCCAGCTCTCTCTCTTTATAGGAAAGGCGTTCCATCCCTCGGTTCATATCTGTGGCCATTCTCTGGATGTGCTCCAACAACTCCATGTCTGTCCTGCACTGTGGACATCTACATCCAGACACAGCACCTCCAGGTGAGGTCTCACAGTGCAGAGCAGAGGGGCAGGACCGCCTCCCTTTGCCTACTGACCGTGCATCTTTGGATGGAGCCCAGCATACGGTTGGCTTTCTGGGCCAGGAAGGTACATCGCTGAGTGCCCACTACTCAGCCTGTTGAGGTCCCTTTGAATGGTGTTGTCCCTCTGGTGTGTTACCGCACCCCACAACTTGGTGTCATTAGGGTGCACTCAACCCCACTGTCAATGTCACTGATGAAGGGTCAATCCCAGATGTTTATACAAACTCAGCAAAGAACACCTTGAGAGCAGCACCACACCAATGGACTTGCGGATCCTGGTGGATGAGCCAGGATCCATGAGTGGACATCAGCCAGCAGAGTGCGCCTGCAGCCTGGAAGGCCAACTGTGTTCTGGGCTGCATTAAAAGAGGAGTGGCCAGCAGGGAGAAGGAGATGATCGTCCCCATTTACTCGGCTCTTGTGAGGTCCCATCTGCAGTGCTGCGTCCAGGCCTGGGGGCCCCAGCACAGGAAGGACGTGGAGTTCATGGAGCAGGTCCAGAGGAAGGCACTGAGATGATCAGAGGGCTGAAGCAGCTCTCCTATGAGGAGAGGTTGAGGGAAACGGGCTTGTTCAGCCTGGAGAAGAGAAGGCTTGGGGGAGATCTCATTGCAGCCTTCCAGTACTTGAAAGGTGTGTATAAGCAGGAAGGGGAACGGCTGTTTATGAGGGTGGATTGTGATAGGACAAGGGGGAATGGTTTTAAACTGAGACAGGGGAGGTTTAGGTTGGTTATTAGGAGGAAGTTTGTCATACAGAGGGTGGTGACGCACTGGAACGTGTGCTTTAGAGTCACTTCCAGGAGGATCAGCTCCATGATTTTTCCCAGCACAGAGGTGAGACTGACTTGTTGGTAGTTCCCAGGGTCACACTTTCTATCTGTAATAAGAGCTGTGCTGTTGCCTTTTTTCTGCTCACCAGGGACTTCACCTGACTGCCTCGACTTCTCAAATACCTCTGAGAGTGGCTCGGTGACTGCAGTGGTGAATTCCCTCAGAGCTCTGGGACTCGTCTCATCAGGACCCAGAGACTCCTGGATGTTCAGGTTCTCAGGTGGTCCAGAACCTGATCTCCCATCACAGTGTGGGATTGGGAGGGGTCTGTGGGACCAGCATTGCTTCCTCAATCCCCACCTACCAAACCAAAGGTGAGAGCTGTGTATAATGAGCAGTTATCAGAGAAGATGGAAGCAGAAATGTTGGGTACCTGAGCCTTCTCCTTGTCTGTTGTTCCCAGCTCAGTGCTGCTGGTAAGCAGCATCGGGCACAGAGTGCAGCCATGTTTCTCTGAAAAAGGAGCACAGGTTTGTGAAAGAGGCACATATGCAGGGCGGTGCCTTCATTACTGCGTTGTGTCCCACAGGTGGTAGCGGAGCTGCGGTGTTCCCGAGTGCTGTAACAACTGCATTGGGATGTGTGGGTCTTCATGGGAACAGCAAGGAACCGGAATCTGCATTTCCTGGAATGGCCGGGAACCGCACTTTGCTGGCTGGTAATTGTCTGCCCAGCAGGTAAGGGCAATGCTCACCCACCAGTGTTTACCTACCCCATAGCATGGCACAGCACAGTGCTCCCAGAGCTCTTAATTGCACTTCATGGTGCCCGGAAGGCTGCCTGTCCTTTTCTTTCTGTGTTCTCCTTGTCTCTGGCCTTTCACTGCAGTGTTTTCCTTCCCTTTGCCCTTGCTGTTCCCTACTGTGTTCTCTTGCCCTCCTGTTTTTGTGTTCCATGCCACGTTCATTTGGCCGTTGCCCTTGGCTTTCTTTGCCGCATTCACTTCAGCATTCAGTTTTGGCGTTCCGTGCCGCATTCTCTCGCCCTCCTGTTTTGGCTTTTCCTTCCATGTTCTCTTAGCCGTTGCCATTAGCTGGGCATTCTCTTTCCCTCCCGTTTTAGTGTTCCATGCCGCGTTCTCTTGGCTGTTGCCCTTGGCTTTCTTTGCCGCATTCACTTCGGCATTCAGTTTTGGCGTCCCCTGCTGCGTTCTCTTGCCGTCCTGTTTTGGCGTTTCTTGCCGTGTTCTCTTGGCCATCATCCTGGGCATTTCCTTCCACGTTTTCTTGGCCCTTGCCCTTGTCTGGGCATTCCCTTGCCCTCCTGTTTTTGTGTTCCATGCCATATTCTCTTGGCCATTGCCTGAGCATTCCCTGGGGCGTTCTCTTTGACCTCCTGTCTTGGTGTTCCAGCTGCATTCTGCATTGGCCTTCTTTGCTGCGTTCTCTTTGGCCTCCTATTTTGGCGCTCCCTGCCATGTTTTTTTTAGCCCTTGCCTGGGCATTCCATGTCTTATTTTGTTTTGGCATTTTGTGCTGCGTTCTCTTGGCCTTTGCCCTTGGCCTTTCCTGCTGTGGTCTCTTTGGCTGTATATTTTGGCCTTTCCTGTTGTGTTCTCCTTGCCCTCGCCTTGGCTTTCCATTGGTGCTCTCTTTGCTTTTGCCCTCGCCTTAGCTTGGCTGTTTGCTTTGCGTTTGCCTTGGCTTTCCATGGGAGTTCTGCTTGCCTTTGCCTGCCCTGGGTGTTCTGCTTGCCTTTGCCTTTGGCACTCTGGGATGAGCTGGGAGGCAGCATTACTGTTAACCTTGACCTGAACCCATAGCTGAATGGGAGTTATAACAATAATTGTGTTAACCTGCAGTGTACCTGTAGACCAAACCCTTAACGCAGTGTTAAAATTATCTCTTGCCCTGAATGCTGCCATAAAAATAATGCCCCATGTTTTCTGTCAAATAACCTTAATTGTGATTGTAGTGCAGAATACTGATGTTAAACCAACTGTAACTTCAACCCTATCAATAGCATTAATTACATCCCTAACGTTAATTACAATTAATGATAATCCTTGCGTCGTCATTACGGCGCTGCACCCTGAGCACATTGCCTTCATTACTGTGTCGTGTCCCACAGGTGGCAGCGGAGCTGCGGCGTTCCCGAGTGCTGTAACAACTGCATTGGGATGTGTGGGTCTTCATGGGAACAGCAAGGAACCGGAATCTGCGTTTCCTGGGATGGCCGGGAACCACACTTTGCTGGCTGGTAATTGTCTGCCCAGCAGGTAAGGGCAATGCTCACCCACCAGTGTTTACCCACCCCATAGCATGGCACAGCACAGTGCTCCCAGAGCTCTTAATTGCACTTCATGGTGCCTGGAAGGCTGCCTGTCCTTTTCTTTCTGTGTTCTCCTTGCCCTTGGCTTTCCCTGCTGCGTTCTCTTGCCCTCCTGTTTTGGCGTTCCCTGTGGCATTCTCTTGGCCATTTGCCCTTGGCCACCTTCACTGCGTTCTTTGGCCTTCGGTTCTGGCCATCTGTGCCACATTCTCTTGGCCTTTGTCCTTGGCCTTCTTTGCCACTTTCCCTTTGCCTCCCGTTCTGGCGTTCCCTACAACAATCTCTTTGGCCTTCAGTTCTGGCGCTCGTGGCTGCGTTCTCTTTGGCCATTGCCCTCAGCCTTCTTTGCCCCATTGTCTTTGGCCTTCAGTTTTCAAGTTCCCTCAGCATTCGCTTTGGCCTCCTGTTATGGCGTTCCCTGCGACGTTCTCTTTGGCTTCAATTTTGGCGTTTCCTTCCACGTTCTCTTTGGCCATTGCTCCCGGCCTTCTTTGCCACGTTGTCTTTGGCCTCTTGTTTTGGCATTCCTTATGGCGTTCTCTTTGCTTTTGGTTTTGGCCTTCTGTGCCGCATTCTCTTTGGCCATTGCTTTTGACCTTCTGCATCGGCCTTTCATGCAGTGTTCTCATGGACCTTGCCCTCCATTTTGGCCTTCTGCGTTGATCTCTTTGGTCTCCATTTTGGCATTCTGCGGCCTTCTCCCTGGGTCTGACCTCTGACACGGCCTTCAGCGTTCTCTATGCCTTTCCTGTCCCTTTGCCTTTGCCCTCTGCTTTGGTGTTCCCTTGGGTGTTCTCCTTGCCTTTTGCTCTTGCCTTGGCCTTGGCCTTCCCTAATGGTCACTCTAAGTATAATTGTAACGTATCTAACCCTAACACCTTTACCCTGACCCTAATGAGCTCTGAAACCCAAATGCAGTGCTAATTTTAACCATGACAATGCAGTTAGCTATACAAAGTGTCCAAATTAACCCTGAACCTACCCTTCACTCGGGCACTAAACCCCTCTGTAACCTTCTGTGTAATACTAACCCTAACCCTACAGCTTCCCCATTAAATACTCCTAACCTTACTCTTAAGCCATTTCTCGGAGCGGTGTTTGGCTTCCATGTTTTGTGGGGTTGGGCTGACGGTGGGCGCGGTTTGGGTCTTGGCGTTTCTCCTCCTAAAGCGTGTTTCTCTGTATTACAGTTGAAGATGCCTTTGACGCTTCCAGTCGATGACTTCCCCCCTGGGATACCCTTGGCTTTCCAGGCCTCCCACAGTCACCACCAGCTCAGTTCGGTCGGGCCGTTACCCGAATCCCCACTCCGTTCCCTTTCCATGATCTTCCTGTCATTCTGCCACAAGTCCCTACCACCGCCCAGGTCATCACAGGCAATGTGTGGGATGCGGCACTCAGTCTCCTTGCAGTTGATCCCATCGGCCTCAGCCCAGCAATCCAACCCTAACCCGCACCCTTCCTGAGGGCCCTTCTACTTCCAGGCCAATCAATGCTTCCTTCTGATGCCATCTGTGTTCCTTCCTGGCTGCTTTAACACTCGTGCCCCTTTGTGGCCATTTTGAGAGTTGCGCTGATTTCAGCGTGTGCATTCAATTGACTTCAACCAAATTGGCTTTAGTTTTACATTCAATTAATGTAAACCAAATTGGCTTTAGTTGTACATTCAATCAATGTAAACCAAATTGGCTTTAGCTTTACATTGGTTGCGGGGTTGGGTTAGCTTTGCTTTGTTTGTTCCTAGGCAGGGCTAACCCAACCCCGTAACCAAGGGCCAGTGAAGGTGTTTTGTGTTCCTTCCCGGCCAGTCTGAGACTTGCGCCCCTTTGTGGCCATTTGAAGAGTTGCGCTGATTTCAGTGTCTGCATTCAATTTATCTCATCCAAATTGGCTTTAGCTTTGCCGTCATAACACATCAACCAAATTGGCTGTGTCTTTGTACTCAATTGATTTCAACCAAATTGGCTTTGCATTCAATTGATTTCAACCAAATTGGCTTCAGTTTTACATTCAATTAATTTCAACCAAATTGGCTTTAGCTTTACATTGGTTGCGGGGTTGGGTTAGCTTTGCTTTGTTTGTTCCTAGGCAGGGCTAACCCAACCCCGTAACCAAGGGCTGTTGGAGGCGATTTTGTTCCTTCCCGGCCAGTCTGAGACTCACGCCCCTTTGTGGCCATTTTGTGAGTTGCACTGATTTCAGCTTGTGCATTCAATTTATCTGAACCAAATCGGCTTTAGCCTTGCAGTCATTTTGAATCAACCAAATTGGCTTTGGCTTTGCATTCAATTGATTTCAACCAAATTGGCTTTACGTTTGCCTTGCTTACGGGGTTGGGTTAGCTTTGCTTTGTTTGTTCCTAGGCAGGGCTAACCCAACCCCGTACCCAACGCCCAAGGGCCAGCAGAGGCAATTTGTGTTCCTTCCTGGCCAGTCTGAGACTCGTGCCCCTTTGTGGCCATTTTGAGAATTGCAATGTCTTTGGATGCGCTGAGATACGCACTGCTTTTGAGGTGGGTTGCAGTATGCAACATTTTCACAAATGTGGTGTCACTAATGGGGTGTGGAGGCTTTGTACTCTTTCTCTGGTTGGTCTGACACCTATGCAAACCATGTCTTAAACTGTACTGCATATGTGTGTGCTGCACCTGTAAATTGCGTTGTGCCATGTATGCAATATGTATTGTGTTGCACCTGTAAACTGTGTTGTGCCATGTACAGAATGTATGGAGGCCATGCCTGTAAGCTAAGTCTTGGAATCAGAGACGCATGTTAATTACATGTTCTGCTTCTCACTGTGTAGTTGCTGGTATCATGTGTATGTATATGCTTGTATGAGTCATGTCTTGTGGAAACAGTGCTGTAATAAACAAATAGTTACAGAACATACTTGCATTGTTTGTCTTGCTTTATCACGGCAAGGACTTGAAGGACACTGGAAGGTAGGTGAGAAAGGTAGGTGTGGAAGGTGGTGGGGTTAGGCTCAGACTTAG